CTTTAAAAGATCTGCGGAGATCTCATACCAGTGATTTCAGCTGTTCTTCAGTGATGTTTCACAGGAGCAAATGGGCAATTTGTTAATTAAACAATTATGCTAATTGTCTACCTTTGAGATCATGAAAGTTGAGCAGATGCTTATTGATGCTGTTTTTTCACAGGTAATTTTGAAATTATTTGACTTTTCTATTGAAATAAAAGGGCTTAAAAGCTGCAATTCAGAAAATCATACTTGATTATATAAAAGTTGTTTAAAAGGTAAAAACATGTTGTGGTCTACTCTTTTTCTTAAGTTTTTAATCAAGAAAGCAAGATGAATACTACAGATAAGCTCTCCTGCACACCATTGAAATATCTCTCTCAGCTTTTCCTTTGAAGGAAGAAAACCTGTACCTTTCCCCAAAGATGAATTACCTACTTCAGGGTGTGCAGCTGCAGTGATTGCAAATCCAGTGGTAATGAATCTGTTATTTTGCAGTCCTTTCTTCAATTTGGTTATAAGGGTCAGATTTTCAATTCCAACCGTGTCGTTTCATGTTAATGACTGTAACACCTAAAGACCTAGGGACACTGGCCATTTAAAAAATACCCCTATTTAGAGTAATTTTAGTACATAAATACATATTATGCACATTTAAATAATTGTGATTTTTTTCCTCTGTTTTTTCCCCTTCTTGACATTGTACTAAATTAAAGGTACAGCTGTTTCATGCCTTCCCTTTTCTTGATGGGTGAAGGCATTTTAGAATAGTTTGTGCAGGCATACCTGTGGTGGTTCTGCTGAATGTCAGTGTGGCAGGAGAGATTTGAGCTGCTGTCCAAAATCCACTGTTTCTTAGCGTGGATCTCTGCTCCCAGCAGGATTTTGTTTTAGTGTGAGACCTGCACTGAGGCTGTGGCAGTGATGCTTCAGGAGGAGACCTTTGGGAAGCACTTGGATCAGAGTTTGTGCATGTCTGATAGCTGAATAAAGTGGGACCAAAGGTACAGAAAAGCTTAGGCAGAGGTTTTGAGTTTCCCACAGGCAAATCCAGCACAGGATTGAGAGAGCAGTTCATGAAGAAGAAAGATCTGCACCTCCTCTGTCTGGTCTGACACTTCAGATTAAATTCTGGGTGAAGACTTTATTTGGGCCCTCAGAAATCTGGAGCTTGAGTTCTTACATTGATGACTGCAGACTTGTTCTTTAACCCAGCTGCTATTCAAGCTCATGCGGTGAGAGCACGCAAAGAACAATCTGTGACACCTGAAATTACCAGGTTCAAAATTATCCTTACCAACAGAACAAAAGAAGACCAATTGTTTTGAGATCAGAGAAGAGTAATAATGTTCTCTGACTGATGAAAAGTTCACTGCCTTGTGAGAAGTAAAACAATTCCAAAAGTGTAACAAGTCCTTGCAAATGTACTTTTGAATTGCAGTGCTTATATTCCACAAAGCTGATGCAGAGCAGTAGGAGAAACTATTTTGCTTGGAACAAGGTAGAGTCATCTGCAGTGGAGTGCAAATGGGATCAAACCAGGAGAAGGAGAAATTAGGCTGCGTGTCAGGCAATCTGAACTAAAAGAGTTATTTGACTGGGAAAGAGCTTCCCAAGGGAAATAATAAAAGCCACATTATTTGGGACACCTAAAATTAGACTTCAGAAAGCACTAGAAAAAATGTACAACCTTGCTTTGGTAGGGAAGTGGACTAGAAAAGGCAGGGTTTTGGATTTTCTTCTCTTTTTTTTTTGTTTGCAATAAATTCTATAATTGTTGGGCTCGATTCTCTTCTGTGATATTTAAGTCAAGGTAAGATTTACATTGCTTCTTGCCTTAGGAAACTGAGGTTAAACAAAACATACAGCCTTCTCCCCTCCACTTTGCCAGCCTTTTGAACTGTATCTATTTATTTCTGTCCCTCAGGGACAGTTCAGACCCCTCTCTTCCAATTATAGATATGCATATTTAGAGGAGTGGAGAAAGGGCGCATGTGCCTTAAGGATCCTTTGTAGCCTTTCCCTCTTACCTGGCTGTTACCAGACACTGGAACTGATCAATATGATATTCCTTTTTCTGGTTTTAATTCAGAGTTTATTTTGATTGTTATGTGGAAACCTATAAACTTGGCATGTTCTGAAGTTATTGTGTGAAATTACTGACCATGGAGTTTATATATATATATATGTATATATGTATGCATGTATGTATACATGTTTGTGTGTATATATATAATATAGTGAGGGGAGATGGAAATGAAATACAGCCTTTAACCAAGGAATTGAGGCCTCAGAGTAATGTGTGTTGATATATTGAAAGTGCTGCAGCCTTCTCCATAATTTTCTTTCAATACAGGCCATGTGATATTGCTGCAGTAATACAAAAGAAGTTACCATAGCCAATCCTGCATATTAAAAAGTGTAGATTGTGCAGTCATGACTAAATGTTAAGACTCAAATGTTTTTTATTGTAAGTTAGCTTGAAGATTCCTGTCTTTATCAGCATACACTGTCTACTTGTGAGATGGCAGTGCTCCTTTCAAAGCCCACTTGAACAAATAGAGCCTCTATGGTTCTTCATTGTGTAGGCATTACCCTGTAATAGTTCTGGGATAAAAACCATGAGTTTTAATGTGCACACAAAAGCATGCCAAGGTCAGGACATTGAGCCTCCAAATTTGTGGTAAGAGACTAAAGAAGGCATGTCAGCAGGATTTTCTGAAAGATGGTTCATTTGTAGAGGGTTTGAAAAAACATGGGAGGAAAGCTATATGGTGTCTCCAGTATTTCATTCAAGGGCTATGTGTTATAGCCTCACAGAATGCTTTTAGCCCCAATGCCACTGGACAGAAGTATATGGGACTGGGATACATGGTGAACACTTCCTCTTCTCTGAATTTTGGGTTGTAGTTTCTACACAGTTTCTAGTCCTTGAATTTAGGCTGCATCATTTGGAGGAACAAGTGCTGGGGCAGGGACTGGTGGAGAGGCAGCTAGAAAAGTCATCTGATGGCATTTCAGGCTGTGACTTTTAAATAGCAGGAGCTGATTCCCGTTTCCTTTCCCCCACTGCTGCTTGCCTCCAATGTGCTCTACCTCCTGCTGCCATTCATGTGGTCTGCCACAGGAGCGTGGGCTGTATTTTTTTTTCCTAATTTGACTAAGAGCATATTTCCCATTCTAAATCCTTAATGAAGACAAAAGGCCTGTATTGCAGGGTAGGAAGATACTAACCCGAAACATATTATTAGCTGGGAAGACTCATTCTCCTTATGTCCATGTTTTTGAATGGCTTAATTGAGGAAAAGAGATATCTTCTGATGATGGGTTTTTGAATAGGGCAACAATGAGGGTGGAATGATGGAGATGCTGTGATGCCAGCTTTCTTGGAAAGCTTCATTAAGAGATTATTAAAGTGATTGTAACCGATTCTGTTACAGATCAGAGTGCTTTGATCAGCCAGCCCTTTGCATAGCAATCTCTCAAGGGAGAAAATGAGTGTTTCAGAGGCTCTGCACATTTAATTTTGACTGATCTCTCATTAAGTATTTTACAAGATAGAAAAGGAGAAAAATACTCAAGACATTATTGGGATATTGTTCATGTACTTTAGGTAGGAAGTGAGAAAGTCTGCATGCACATTTTAATTTCACTGCCTCTTCCAATCTAACCCTCTAGCAAAACAGCCAGATATTCCACTCAAGACTATGATAGCTTGCCTCATTTCTATGCTATCTTCTCTCTTGAACTTTTCCAGATTTAACTGTCATGCCTTCTCTCTACACAGATGATTCTGGAAAAGCATGGAGTGCCCGTTTTTAAAAATGAAGGGAGAAGAAAGGGGAACAGGTTCTGGGAATTGTGGTCTTTTTAACTTAACATCAATTTCTAGTAAAACATTAAAATATAAAAAATGTTTCTAAGACCTTTCAGGAGTCAGGGAAATAAATTATGACCTAGAGAGATGTATAAAGAGTAAATGTGAGAAACCAATGTAATTTCTTGTTAAGATAAAGCCTTGCAGAAAGAAAAGGCAAAGCATATTACATATTTTGTGTTATTGTAGGGCTTTTGACACTGTTTCATATGACATTGTGAAGAGTCTCAGAAAATAATCATGACATGATGGATGTAGAACAAGATGTAAAATTAGATGTGTTTGGAGCCTTTATCCAAGTGTCACTACCAAAAGATTTCAAGCATGGCTTGCATAGGCCTCTCTTTGGCACTGCCTAATACTTTCATTTGCAACTTCACTAATGAAATACAGGGGTTTCTTGTTAACTTTAATGATGACTGAGTCATGCTGAGGGCATGGTTAGGTTTGAAAATCAGTGAGTGATGCACTGTCATTCTACAAAAGATTTTTTTTAAAAAAAAAGCATATAGCTTTTGTTGGAAGATATGTGCCTTTTTGCCAGTGTATTACTAAAGAATTGTGAAAATTAACATTTAAAAATGGCAAGAAAACACTTGGCTTTAACACTTGAGATGTCTGGTCCTTGATATTATATAATTTGGTAATTGAAGCATTAATTTACAGAATTATTTCTTTATTTATTATTAAATCATGAGGGACTTAAATCATGAGGGGCTTAAAAAGTTCCTTACTGTCTCCTTAGAGCAGCAAACCTCTGGCTTAAAGTCAACTGAGGTTTTGTCCCAGCAGGAGCATCTACATGTGGTCGGCTGTGATTTGTTCTCTGCAGAATTGCACTTCAGGGCTATGGGCTAGGTTAAGGCAAGATGTAATAGTTGGACAGGCTAGCATCTATGCATTTGGTACTCATGGCACTGGTCCAGATCCGTGAGCTTGTTCTTTAGATGTATGTTGTCATCATAACTGTAATGAGGCTGCTCGTGCTGTACTTTTGGAAGCAGTGCAGTATAAAAGTCTTCACTCCGCTGAGAGCTAGATATTTTGGCCGATCTTCAGCTTGCAGTGTATAAACCCATTCCTCTCTGTTTTTTCTTTTTGTTCTTCCACTTCTCCTTTTCCTCCCTTCCTTCTCCTCAAGGACATAGACTGGCAATATTTTTCACAACTGGGTGAAGCTAGAAATCCGAACAGATGCCTGTGCCACCGCCGCCGCCGCCACCTCCTCCACCTCCACCACCACCTTCTGCAGGGCCCCCTCCACCACCACCACCTTCGGGAGGGCCCCCTCCACCACCACCACCACCACTGGTAAGATTGACTTTTCATTTCTGCGTGCAAAAGCTTAGGTGTAGTAGTCAGCTCAGAGCCCACAGGGTTTTGGCATGGATATTCATAGCAAGTATCTGGGGCAGATGTTTGTTTTGCTGGCACTGATTCTGTTCATTACAGCAGTGATCTCCAGAGTGGGGTGTGTGAGATGATCCATTGATATGTGGGATGAAAATACTGCAACTTTAGTCATATATATGAATATTTTATAAAGAAATAAACTTATGTGTTTTGGGGTGCATGCTCAAAAATTTTGTTACTGCTAGGAGTGCATGATCAAAAGGTTTTGAGATGATTAGAGTGCATATGGTGAGAATTTAGCATTTGTGAATACTTTTCCAACCAAAGGGAATTCATTTTTGTATTGGTAATGCTACAGATGGTAAGTATTAATTTCTTCCTCCTTTTTCTTACAGCTCCTATTAGGACTCACAGTGTTCAGCTGTACATTTTGCCCTTTCTAGCACACAGTGTCTTCCTGGGGATACAGCACAATATTCTTTTGTACATGTGCAGGAACAATTACAGCTTGTAGCAGATCATTACTGTGTGTGTCATGAAGTAGAACATGTGCCTTGCCAGCATGTTTGCAATAAGAGGAGGATGCTCTGGGTGAACTTTCAGGGTATTACATTTTCATACCTTCACAATCAATTACTTGTACCTATTGTAAAACCTGTTTAAGTAATTCCTTGAATTCTGTGATCCGTTGGTCATAACCTGTTTCTGCATTGAAATTCTTGGACTTTTTTTGAAAAAGGGAACCTGGCACGGTTTGTTCAAGTCATAAAATCTCCCCTGACTTTTTTTCATACATTTTTCCATCACTGCTGTGGTTATTTGCAGAGTATGTTAGACTGTGTAGCAAAACAGTACATGGTACTTAAAATGTATTTCAAGCGTACTTCAAGTTTATTTTTTTTTAAGAACTACATTTCTCTGTTGCATTCCTTGGCATCTCTGCCTGTTTTGTTCCCAGGAAGGTTGGTTGATTTTGTTTGGTGTTGTTCATAATGCTCTTATTTTATCTTTTTTTTCCAGAAGGAGGTTTCTTTGCAAGTTTCTTTCTGCTACTTTACAGGCTGAACAATTTTGTAAAACTCCCCATGAGTTGTGGAGATGAAGAGGAGGAGGATAAAGACAGCAAATCAAATAAGCAGTGTTTGATTCTTTTCAGCATTCAGCTTCAACTTGGGCACCAGGAGCAGTGTTTCCAATTAGCAATTCTTCTGGGCTGGTACACAACCTATACTTAGATGCTGAAATAAGTGGGCTGCATATTGTGAGCAGCTTAATGCTCACAACTGCAATTAAACTCAACAGAAGCTACAAATGTTCTTATCCTAATAAATTTAGATCAGTAAAGTATCTAGAGACATTTTTAGACTCCTCTAACATACACCAATTATTAAATGGCTTGAGAAAGCTAAAAGGACCCCTAAGGGTCATTATGAACAAGTTTAGGATTTTTGTTTCCACTTCTCTTTTCTGACAACTAAACCCACTCCTGTGGCAGGGTTTTGATACAAGAAGGTTTGTTTTCATATTGTAGTTGGATCATTCTGTTTCAAATGGATGGTCTCTGTATAAGACGTGCAGAATTTTGAGTCACCATCTTGGTGACATGATACATACTAGATGTGTTTCTAGTTATTGTCTGATATTGAAGCTTTGCTTTTAATAAGTCTTGATACTAAAAAGAGTATATGAATCAACACAAATAATTAATAAAATAGCGTGATAGGACATTGTTTTTTCTGCAACAGCAAAATTACTTTTCCCTGTCAAAACTGAATGAGAGACAGGATCAGGAATCTGCCTGGTGAGTTCAGCAGAAGCACAGAGTAGGAGGCTGCTCTACAGCTGGTGCCAAGTTACAGAGTAAAACCTTATAGTTGGGGAGTCTTCAGAAACTTGCTACAGACCCTGTTTTCTTTTACTGGTAAGCCCTTTTCTAGAAATTGGCATTTGTCTTTTACAGTTGCTGATCTGCCCAGCTGTTGTTACAGCTGCTAGATCTACAGCTGGGGATGGAAGAAGGAAAAATTTTTACAGGCGTATAGCTTTAAGGAAAACCTTCAAAGCAAATAAGTTATTGTTTGGCCAACAGCTGGAGAAGTTCCAAAGTAAACAGCACAGTGATTTTTATTATACTGGTATGATTAAATCAGAGTACAATTTGCATGTCAGCAATTAAAAGTTAGATTTTAATTTTACTATTGATATGCAGGTGAGCCACTAGTTTAATTTATGTGATTTATGTTAAAAGAAAAATGTCTGTGTGTAGTGGACACACAGGACCTGTAGTTTTTCATGATGCTATTGTAGGGGTACCACGGATTTGTCTTGCTTTTGTAGTTATGGATGAGCACCATACTTTCCTCTTGCTTTCACTATCAAGAGATTTTTAGCAGAAGTAGTCACCACATTGTGTTTTCTCTGTACATTTTCTTTGCTAATATTGTGAGCCTTGAACCCAAATAATTTTGCAGTCCTTACTTCATGGAAATTCTAATCACTGATGGCACATAACTTTTTTGTCCTGTTGACTCTTAAGGCAGAAAAAACTTCCTTCCTAGTGTTTTTTGGCCTTGTCCCTACTGTTTTCTAAGACTTTTGCACTTGCTGATATTCTGTAAGTACTTGCACTGAATTTTGTTCACAAAAGTTGTTACAAGACAATGCAGAGTGATTTGGAGATGGTATTCAAGACATGCTAAGAGCCACCTGTGTCCAACAGCCAAAAAAACTACTGGCTGTTAGACCAAACTTAGAAGGAAACAAATTGCTGGATTTCTCAGGAGGGAATGGTGGGATGTCTGCTGTAGCAGATGCAGGTGGCTGAGTCAAAATGCAAATACAGCTAATTAGATTAATTGACCATGTCTTCAAATGCCTACCTACTGGGGGTCTCAGAGATGAGAGGGGTGAGTAGGCAGAACAAAACTATGCCCTGATGTATTTTCTGGCACTGGCTTATAGAATTCGATTCTCTTTATGTTCCCTTTTCCTCTACACCTTAACAAAGCACACTTACACAGGAGGCATTTTCTAAAGCTCTTTTAGTTTATAGGCATGCCATGTAAGGTAGGTTGTTTTAGAAGTTTCTGTTGGTGGTCTTGGGGAAGAGGTTGGTAGTTGTGGGTTATTTTTAAAGCTTTCTGCTCACGAAAAATTTAATTTTATTCCCAATCTATTTCTTTTACCAGTTCTGCCTTTAAGCTTGGCATATGAGGCAACCAGGTTAGTTTTGGCTTGTCGTATTTTCTGGAGTATGTGTCACCACTGAGACGATTAAAATTTTTCTCTACCTAATTTCCCAAGAAAAGGATCAAGAGAGAATTTTGCTTTGATAAACCCTGTTCACTTATTACCTGCAGTGAAGGCTGCTTACTGCTGTGTGGCCTCTGTATATATGAATTTGTAATGTTAAGATCAGTCATCACCTATTAAAATGTTAATATTGGAGGAAGTGTGGTTGTGTAGCAGCCCTGCTGGGTTATGCCTTACTCAGAGATGTTTGTTTAATGATTCATGTGTTTGTGGAGTTTAAGAAAATACTTCTGTTCTCTTTAGAATTGTTATGAATAAAGTCTTAGCATAGAAATTAACCCCCAAAATCACAATGGATCAGATGATTAAAGCTCATAAAGTAGCACCAGGTGTTTATTTGCTGCCTTGTTGCACACTAGAAACAAGGATAGCAGAAGGAGAAAGTAAAATGCTTACTTTGGTGATAGAAATGTGAACCTTGAAACAATGGTGAATGCTAGAATAGCATGTGGATTAAGCATAATAATTACCTCATCCTTATTAAGTTAAGAATTTTAAAAAATTAAAAACAGAATGACTGTTGTAGATAAACCTGTCAGTGTTTACCAAGTTTTTTATTCTCTTCTTATTTTCTGCTCTGTAATAGAAAACTCAGAAAAGCAATTCCTCATGATATAATGTTATGATAAAATCCTGATTTACACAGAAGGATTTCCGAGGTTGAGAAAAATATCGCCTGATAGTTTTCCTTGGGGGGGGATGTTTTTTTCCCCTCCTTCAATGCAGTTGTTAGATTGAAAACCTTCCTGAGCTGTTTCCTTCAGCTTCACAAGAATTTCAGAGAGCTAGTGTTCATGTGTGGGAGTTGGTTTTGCTCCTCTGACATTTAGCACTACTGTTCTTTGGAAAGAGAACAAACAGCATATGTAAAACATCTTGGCTGAAGATAATGATGATTTATGGTATTTTGATTTGATCTTACCAAATATAGTATGAGTGAATGTGCACATATGAGCACTAATATGCATAAATTTTTGGTCATGCTTGCTAATTATTTATTGTAAAAATTAAAGTAATGTCTCAAGTTTCTATTCAGACCCCTAGACATGCAAGTGTAGTACTGAAAGAACAGCATTGTGCATGGTGCCAATAGCAAAATAGTTAGGAATGTGTTTATTAACATTTTATCTGAGGTGTAAGATCATATTTAGTACTTTGTCATGGAGCCTAGGGAGATACTAAAGCACAATATTTATTGCTGATAGGTGAAACACACCAGAGTGAGGGAAAGTGCAGGCTTGGTAATCTTGTTGCTGACTGACTGATCATACAGACTGTGCTGAGGGCTGGACAAAGCACAGCTGAAATTTTTGAGTGCTTTGTTCCAGATGAAATAAAGCATACTGATTTACAGTGTTTTAATAATATATCATATCTCACACCGTCTGCTTCCATAAAGAAGTGAGAGTCAATCATGTAGGAAAAAAAAAAGCTGTATCTTTGTGTGGTTTGACTTAATTTTCAGCTGTTGGAAAATTGAGATTGCATAGCTGTGGTGTCTCAAAGTGTTGCTGCTGTAGCTTTCTGTATTTCTGGTCAAGAAATACAGAAAGAGTAAGTAGGAGCTGTGAAATGTGGGAAAGATGAAAAGAAAACATAAATACTAGACTGTCATTGCTCTGTTTCATCTGGACAGGTACAGGGCA